ATGTGGATGGTCTCTCACAACGTTTATCCAAACTCTTCAAAGAGTACAACATCAGAATTAGCCACAAGAATGCCAATAGCTTGAAATCATACATCGGCTCTACTAAAGACCCAATACAATACTTTGATAGATCTAACTTAGTATACTTGATTCCCTGCAACAATTGTGAGAAATGTTACATTGGTCAGACGGGTAGATATTTAAAAAAGCGCATAGCAGAACATAGGAATGACTGTAAAAGAGATAATAATGCACACACCGCTTTAACTCTACATAAAATAGATACTGGACATACTTTTGATTTCGAACATACCAAAATAATAGGCAATGAAGTAAACTATCACCGTAGATGCATATTAGAAATGATAAAAATATCTACTAATTCTAATACTGTAAACTTTAGAACTGATATCGAGAGGCTAAGTGTCATATACTATAATATCCTTAAGAAATAACTTTTACCTTCATTATCACACTCATCTTGCAATAGATATACCTATCTAAGGTTTTCGTTAATATTTTGAATCTCCCGGCTAGAAAGATTAGAAAACTTATTGACTTTTATTAGTCCTTCACCATCAAAAAAAGTCTAACGTTCACCTAATACTTAATTTCAAAATCTCTTGTCTCATGGCTGACGTCCTTGCTTCACGTTGAGTCGGTTCTTCCTTGCTTGAATATGCTCGTTGTCTTTACGTTCACTATGAAGGTATAATTTTATAATTTTTTAATATTATTTATCTCTCCAAACCATGTTGAACATATTCATCTTTAAATATATGACACATATCTTAATTCTCCCGTATCACTAGGCATATCGGATGATGGTCCTGCCTTCAATTTATGTATCAACCTACATGTGACTTCTTTCTCTGTTTCTTTCTGCGTTTATGTCCCACTTACGTTAAGTTCCTGTAAGTATATTTTAAGTTAATCCACCTTACTACAATAACTGGGAAACCTACTTGGTCCGGCCGGTACATTAACTTTCACTCTCACCACCCACTTTCTCAAAAGCTAGGCATCATTAAATTGCTAACAGATAGAGCCATTTTATTAGCACATCCTAAGTTCCATACAGAAAATTTGCAACTAGTTAAAGAAACTCTCAATATCAATGATTATCCCAAACATATTGTAGACAGAACCATATACAATAGACTTACATACTTAGTTAACAAAATTAGTGCAACCGATAATAGTCCTACAGTAGTTGCCGATCGTGATCTCAAGCCTTGCATCTCCCTACCATATGTGGATGGTCTCTCACAACGTTTATCCAAACTCTTCAAAGAGTACAACATCAGAATTAGCCACAAGAATGCCAATAGCTTGAAATCATACATCGGCTCTACTAAAGACCCAATACAATACTTTGATAGATCTAACTTAGTATACTTGATTCCCTGCAACAATTGTGAGAAATGTTACATTGGTCAGACGGGTAGATATTTAAAAAAGCGCATAGCAGAACATAGGAATGACTGTAAAAGAGATAATAATGCACACACCGCTTTAACTCTACATAAAATAGATACTGGACATACTTTTGATTTCGAACATACCAAAATAATAGGCAATGAAGTAAACTATCACCGTAGATGCATATTAGAAATGATAAAAATATCTACTAATTCTAATACTGTAAACTTTAGAACTGATATCGAGAGGCTAAGTGTCATATACTATAATATCCTTAAGAAATAACTTTTACCTTCATTATCACACTCATCTTGCAATAGATATACCTATCTAAGGTTTTCGTTAATATTTTGAATCTCCCGGCTAGAAAGATTAGAAAACTTATTGACTTTTATTAGTCCTTCACCATCAAAAAAAGTCTAACGTTCACCTAATACTTAATTTCAAAATCTCTTGTCTCATGGCTGACGTCCTTGCTTCACGTTGAGTCGGTTCTTCCTTGCTTGAATATGCTCGTTGTCTTTACGTTCACTATGAAGGTATAATTTTATAATTTTTTAATATTATTTATCTCTCCAAACCATGTTGAACATATTCATCTTTAAATATATGACACATATCTTAATTCTCCCGTATCACTAGGCATATCGGATGATGGTCCTGCCTTCAATTTATGTATCAACCTACATGTGACTTCTTTCTCTGTTTCTTTCTGCGTTTATGTCCCACTTACGTTAAGTTCCTGTAAGTATATTTTAAGTTAATCCACCTTACTACAATAACTGGGATATGCGTTATGTTTACTTACAATTCACTATGTCACTCATTGTAAATTTCTCTCTTCACCTATTTATTAATAAAGGCCTGAGGATGACCCGCACCATGGGTTGAAACGTCCCAAACAATATTGTCTTCGCATTATCAAGGCTGCATATGGTCAACATTTAAAAACACCTATAATATATATAGGCAAAAAGTGTTTTTGTTTACTTATTCGCTTTTCTAATCTCTCGGAATAGAAGAAGGTAGCTGAAACCACGATACAGCAGATTGCATAATGCGTCTGATGACTGTGGTGCAGCGGGTAATAAGTGTTTACTGCTTCTTGTCGTCTTGTGGTGTACACGAGCCTGAGTGACTGGTCTAGAGAGACTTGTCTAGAGAGATCTGTCTAGTGTGCTCTCCTATCGAGGAAGCCGCTGTTTATATCCTCGATAGAAATACGTTAATTCTAATGGGGATAACGATTTTTATCCACCCGAGATGTTAACGTCACTTTTTTGGATTTCATATTTTGATTTATTTTTTGATTTAACTAATTGGCTTAGTGGCTTCTCCAAGTACCAGCTTACTGGTATTTCTTTTGTGTTTGGCCCATGGTGGCTGATAGCGCTCGGGCACCTGTTTAGGTAACCTGTTACCTTGTTAAAGGTAATAATTTCTAATATTATTTCCTCGTGTGACTAATTTCAATGGAATTATGCAATATTACAGATTTAAAGGTCCTATTTTCCCTTTCCTTTATCGGCGTCGCTGTGAAAGGTCGATAGGATTCTTACGGATTTTTAGGATGTGAGAAGTTCTCTCAGATACTGTTATGCACATCCACAGTGCGCTATGCACTCTTATGTGAGGCTCTTGACGTATCCATCATCGAGTACGGAAGATTGGAAGGAAAAAGGATAGAGAATAGAGGGGTATAGGGACGGAACGTTACAATGTATACATACATTTTATTACTATGTTTTTTAATATACGCTATACCTTATTACTTCTAATTTTACCGTTACACTACACATAAAAAAAAATTATCCACCATTATCACCACCACCATAGATTTTATTAACTTGCGCATATCGGTGATCCGCCAAACGTTTCTATCGCACAAACGCGTTGTAGTACTCTCGAGCGATTATATCGTTTTTCCATGAATTAACACTAAACACATTCTGGAAGGAATGCATCTCGAAGCCGGAGGAGAGATAGTGTAAAAACATCATGCAGAACTGGCCGCACACCGTCGACGTCTCGCTGTGAAGCTACTGAGTATTCCATCGGAAGGATCGACAGTTTCATCGGAGTCTCGATGCGTGGTGATGATTCAGCGGTGGTAATCCGTGGCTGTCAAAGTAGTATCCGGAAGTAGTACATGGCAACTCAATGCGCTCCTGGTTTCATATGATCGTCCGTGGTGGCGACAATGGCAGCGGGTTTCAACCAGTTTCGGGGTATTCTATCAGCTGCGTAGACATCCGTCGTATGTTCCGATATACCGCGAAGGCCGAGGTAAATCTCTAGAGTGTTCATATATGTGGTCCGTTATTCCGAAGCCAGAATTTGAGACGCAAGGCGTTGTTCAGAGCGCAGGTAAACGACCCCCGTGCTTCCCTACAGGCGTGAACGACGCACTCGTAAGGGTCACGATTCAGCGGAAAGTCTTCGTATGGCGAGTTATTGGGGGTTTCATCCAAATTTATAACTTTCCTCGCCATAACAGTCTGCAGAAAAAGCACGCTGTCCGGACCTCGCGTGTATATTTTCCGTGAAATACCGGCTATATTTCGGAGATTGGCGTATAACAGCTTGTACGCTATACCGCCGTCGAACCACTCTAGGCCGTGCTGATAGCGGGTCATGGTGTTGTTCTCGCTTCTGATCGTCGGTGGTAATTTGTTGAAAACATAGAGCGGTGAAACAATCCAGTGGCCTATGTATCTTCTTTCCACAGCCACGACGCCGATTTTCTTCGGAGCCAGACACCCCTCGCAGTCTTTCAAGTACTCGATCTCGACGACAAAATGCATCGTCGCGGTGCAAACTCGAAGACGTTCAACGAGAAACTAACAACAATGCTTACCATGGCCCGCGATACCGAGTGCACAAGAGATGATGACGCATATCCCAAATTGCTAACCTATGTATTTTCTTCGATTATTTATCCGCCGTAATCTACGACGATCTGACGCAACGGGTCGATCTACAGAACGTTATCGTACTCTGCGTATACGATACAGTTCACGGTGGCGGCAGTAGTAGATGGTGCACTATAGCGACCCCCACTCCTATCCCCACTCCCATCCCCACTCCTTTTCACCACTCCGCGGCTTTGGCTGCCGTGGTGCAGGGTGAAAGGTGCGGGGAGAGAGGGGGATGGAGCGCAGGGGCCGTCATAGTGCACCGCTGTCTATTGGTTATTACTATTATTATTATTATTTATTAATTGAGATAATAATTGGTTATAAGTATTATCCGCATATGCACTTTTCTTTAAACATTGAACACATATAACATTAAGAGTAGATATAATCTATATAAATTTTACAATATTACAAATAGACCCATAGAAAACGTAAGCGAAGGGTTAAACGCTTCTGCGACCACAAATTGATATTGGGCGTATGCCTGTGTCGTGTAAGATGGTAGCCAATCACTGCGACGGTAGAAAATTTCACAGCACAGTGATTGGCACACCATGGAAATGGAACCCCTGCTCAGTGAGGAAGGGTACCCATCAAACCCCGTCCGCCTCCGAATCGCGATTTGCATGCAATTATTATTTATATAATTATAGCTAATTACTCACCAGACTGTATGCTGCGCTTCCGTGCACATCGCGGTGCTCGGCGTTAAAAAGACGCACACTAATAATGTCTTCGGACCGGGTCACTATTGACGCAATTGCAATGCCTTCGCCACAGGCCGCCTGCAATATGGGAAGGGCCTCTCAAACTCGATATTTTCAAGTCCGTGCAGATGGCACTCAATTTGCAATGCCGGTGCAACACAACAGAGAGGCTCTGCGTAATTCAGATATTGGCCCTCAATAAAAATGGTTTCATTAGTGCCCACCAGCAGAACTTCTGAATAGCCGTCCTCGTCGGCACTGATAATTTTAGTGCGGTCCACTGTATACGACGTCACTATAATGCACGGCATATTAGGAGATAAGTCCTGTTCAATGGGTTCTCCGCTTTCTTGCACTACATAAATATCGTATAACCACTCCTTTAGTTGACGATATGCAGCCCTCGTTTCATTGGTCTGAACTATAATTTTTATTTGGTCCTCTATGTGAACTATTTTGCACCAAAAATCGAGTCCAGAGCATAGCAATCGTAACGCGGGAACATTGTTCAAATTATTATATAATGCACAAAAAAACTTTCAAAAATTTACAGAGAGAATATGATTTTTGATGCGGTCGGGGCGCGTTATGAAGAGAGACTAAAGGTCGAGGATGCTGCGCTGAGAGACGCGTAGACAAATATGCTGAATTGCAAACATATACAATTAATGAGCTACTCGTAACAATTTCATTGTCCAGCTGCAGGCATCGCGCGTGTCTCCTCGGATATGAGTATCGTTATATGTTTAAGTAAATGCTTACTTGTATATTTATTGTGTTACCCCTGGAGACAAAAAATCTCAGTCGGAATTCAACCGCTGTACGGAACGTTATTTAATTACAATGTCAGACCGTGCTCTACGTTTGTGTATTCTAGCCCTTTTGCGCTTAACAAAAGCACACAGTGCGTAGTTGAGGCGTAGATGCAATTATCATTGGTGTAATGAATTGAGACATTTACCAGGCAAGAGTCTCATAAAGAGACTAAAGTATATTATATGGTGGGCTCCTTTACGAGCCATTTCAGTGGCCTACAACAGAGGTGTGTTAAGTGGTCAACGTGTGTTGACATGTGTGTTTGAAGAATTGCAACGACGAGGTGCCGAAAAGTTTCCGTGTATCAGAGGCCTTGTCGATGAGATCAGAAGTAAGTATCTTTACGTTATAAGTAGCTTATTATTGGTAGCCCGTACAATAATTATTTTCTGTCGATTATAGCATATCGACAGTTTCTCGATGCAGTGAGTGATGAAGAAGAAGCGCTCGTAGAAGTGTCACACACAATAGAAGAAGAAGAGGACTTAGAGCGTCAAGTCAGTCTAATGGGTGAGTATCCAAAATAATTTTATCCTAAATAATGGTTCTTCTTTTTTCAAGAAGAAGAAGAAAAAGAAAGTACAATTAAATTATTTTTCAGAACCTGAGCAGGAGGATCATGAAGAACCAGGGTCTGGAGCTGGTGCTTGCTCGATACCGTAAACAATATCTGTTTCATCAGCATCATCTAGCACCAGCTTCAGTGGTCGTAAGTACGAATTACATTATTTTAAATCGTATTAATCGAAAACTGTATATTCGATTATTCGGATATTTCATTTATAGGTAATATAGCACAGGATGAAGATACGGTGGAGAAAACAGCTGAATTGCAAATTCCCTCTGAAGATACCGAATCATCGTCATCATCATCATCGTCAATAGTAATGTCGAGTATTCCTAAACCATCCGAAATATTAAGCGATAATCCTGTAAGAGCTAGTGAGTATCAACATAAAATAAAATATATAATTACAAAATAAAACTTAATCAATTGACAATTTGTAACAATTCGATCAGTGATGTATCGACGAGCCCGAGGTATCAAAGCTGATGGCGCTGTAGCAGGACCATCGTATCAATTAGACAACGACATCGATAGAGCTATAGCTGAGAGAGATAATGATCTTTCGATGAGCGAGGCCGACGTTATACTACATGCTCCTATGGAGCACGAGGCTATGAGTGTGGATGAAAACGATGAGAGAAGAGCTGCCAGGCAGTTTGATATCTGGTTTCAGCATTTGATGGAGTCCGATTCAGGTAAAGAAAAATTATTTTACGCTTTACTTGTGTATGGGATAAAAAGTAAGCTGCTGTATTTACGACAGGGTATTCGACACATGACTCATTATTGCTGAATCAAGACTAACACGAGGTACTCTAAAATAACTATAACATTTTGAGAATCTATAAGTTCTAGTCACTTATGCCACTGTTTTGTTTCAGATGTACAAAGAGGTGCTGGTAGGCCCCGTGGCGCACCGACTAACGAATCCTTTGGAGATGTACAGCCACCTGGAGTTCGAATTTTTATCACACAGGATGCAGCACGCTATTTTAAGCGTTTCAAATTACAAGGGCGCGAAACAACGATGCAGATGCGCCAGCCACCTTCAGGAGTCAATGTAACAGAGTGGCTCGAAGGAGCATTCCGCGATCTTTTAACGCATCTCACCAGATACTGCGAGGGTAGCGACTACGCGGGTATTTCGTTTACAGCGAATAGCTCAGCTCACGGCCCCGTATGGCTTGATAATGAACGGCACTAAAATTATTACTATGCGCCTCGGGAAGCTTGTGTTTCTCGATAGTCTACACTACTTTCATATGCCTCTGAGTGCGTTGCCAAAAGCCTTTGGTCTTAAGGCTACTATTGCTAAAGGATTTTTTCCTCATCTGTTCAACAGACCCGAAAATCAAAATTATGTCGGAGAGCTGCCGTCTGTAGAATATTACTCTCCTAACACAATGCGTGTGGCGGAGCGCGAGCGTTTTTCAGCATGGTATAACGAACTAAAAAACGCCGAATATGTATTTGATTTTTCAAAAGAGATTGAAAGTTATTGTAAAAACGATGTCACAATATTGAGACAAGCGAGCATGGTTTTTCGAAAGATGTTCATGAGCAGCGGTCGTGTCTGTCCATTTACCGAAAGTACAATAATCGCGTCAGCATGTTTTCAAAGTTTTCGGAAAAATTTTTTGAAAAGCAATTCAATCGGTATTATACCCACAGGCGGTTATAGATGAGCGCACAATCAATCGAAAAAAGCAGTGTCTTGGGTCGTGTGGATGGAGCATTCTCTTGGTCATCGCATTATTCACGCGGACGCTCGCGTGAATTTAAATTGCTTCAAAATCTTTTGGTAGACGGTTACTACGAAACCCCTGGTGCAGCAGACGTATTACAGTTTTACGGTTGCTATTGGCATGGCTGTTCACGCTGTTTCGCTGTAAACAGGGATCGCAAACAGAGCGATGGTATATCAATGAATGAGCGGCTGGAAAGAACGAACGCTATATCCTATAGAATCCGAACGAGCGGTTACACGCTAACTGAAATTTGGGAGTGCGAGTATGATCGTATGCTAGAAACAAACGCGGCGATGAGTACGTTCGTACGCGACCACACTCTAGTTAGCACAGATCCCCTCAACCCTCGCGATGCTTTCTTCGGAGGCCGCACAGAAAACATGGTCACGCTCTACGATGCAAAGGACGGGGAGCAAATACACTATGTTGACGTTTATTCTCTGTACCTGCATATCTGTAAGTACGGGAAATATCCCGTAGGCCATCCAAAGTGTACGTAGGTGATGAGTGTATGGAACTGACTGGTCTTGATAATAACAACCTTTCGCTCATTGAGGGTCTTGTTAAATGTACAGTACTTACACCGCAAAATCTTTATCATCCTATGTTGCCTGTACGAATACATCAGCGACTCTTGTTTGGACTGTGCCGTAGCTGTTGCGAGAACATGAACCAAGAAGCTTGCAATCATGAAGATCCTGCAGAGCGTGTGTTCAATGGTACGTGGGTAGTCGACGAACTGCGAAAAGCTATTGCGTGCGGTTATAAAGTACTTAGTGTGACTGAAATTTGGCAGTATGAAATAATACAGTATAATCGAAATACGCAGGAGGACAGTCTGTTTGTCGAGTATATTAATACTTTTCTTAAAATCAAGGAGGAGGCTAGCGGGTGGCCTGAGAGGTGTGCAACAGATGAGGCAGCGCAAGACCTCTATATAACGGCTTTTGAGAACGCTGAAGGCGTTAATCTCAGTCGCGATAGTATAGCGAAAAATCCAGGCTTACGATCTGTAGCTAAGCTGTGTCTTAATTCATTTTGGGGCAAATTCGGGCAACGCGAGAATCTGCCGCAGACAGCGATAGTATCGACGCGCAAAAAACTCATGGAATTACTAAGTAGTCCAGAGTACGAAATTACGGGTATGCTACCAGTAAATAATCATGTACTGTATGTAAATTACACGAAAACTGCTGATGCTGCAATGCCATCTAACATAGCAAATGCCGTAATAGCTGCGTATACTACAGCTCAGGCCCGCCTGAAACTTTATAGTTACCTCGAACTGTTGGGTCACCGCACTCTGTACTGCGACACAGATTCGGTTATTTATGTGACAAAGAAAAACCCAGACGAATACGAGCCGCCGACGGGTCAGCTTTTAGGAGATCTAACGGACGAATTAAGCTCTTACGGTGTAGGTAGTTATATTAAATCGTTCGTTTCGGGAGGTGCGACATGTTATTCTTTCATAGTGAAGACCCCCGATGGTACTTAAAACGAAGTTTGTAAAGTAAAAGGTATATTTGCAAATTTAAATTTTTAATTCGCTTAATTTTGCAAATAGCTCATTAATAAATTACGATTCAGTACGTTCTTTTATAATAGGAGAGAGAGAGGAGCCGATTATATTACAATATTTGCCGATTGTATTACAATGGTTGTCACACGACCTGAAACGAAATCATGTATGCCTTCGAGTGTCAAGAGGAGACGTAATGGTGAATACGGCTCGCTTCCTTATGATTACAGAGGTTAGCTTATTCTGTGATATAGGACTAATGTAAATAATGTAATAGACAAATAAAGGATTTATTTTTAAACGTATACGCTCCTGGGTGTTATCTTTATTATCATGCGCATCATATTGGGAAACTTACTCATTCACTCAGATGGATACGCACTGGAAACATTCATGGACCTCAATGATTTGCGGTCCTACGGGATGCGGCAAAACGTTTTTTATGAAAAAATTTTTAAAATTTATCTCGCTTATGAGTAGTGAAAAGTTTGCAAGAATTATTTTTTATTACTCGGAGTGGCAGTCGACGTATATGGAATACGGCTCATCAATAGAATTTCGTGAAGGTCTACCCCAGTCTGGAGATTATGCAAATAACAATCGCGCTAAGCTCATAATTATCGATGATCTGATGTGTGAAGTATCAAATAACAGTGTTGTCGAACTTTTCACCAAAGGTAGTCATCATAAAAATTTAAGCGTAATTTTCATAACTCAAAACTTATTTCATCAAGGTCATGGACAGCGTGATATTTCGCTAAACGCCAGTTATATAGTTGTATTCAAAAATCCTCGCGATTGGGCTCAGATACAACACCTGGCGCGTCAAGTATATCCGGAAAATCCTCGTTTTTTACAAGAGCCTTATCACGACGCGGCGTCAAAACCATACGGGTATCTCTTACTGGATTTGAAGCAATCTACACCCGATAACTGCAGATTTCGCACCTGTATCTTTCCAGACGACGCGCATCATTTCGTCTACTTGCCGCGAAAAAAGTTCAAAAGCAGCGTTTCAACCGCAGAATTGCCAGTTCTACGCCTGTGATGGAGCGAAACGGATCATCGCTCTGCAAGAAGCACATTGCTATATTAAAGGGCTCTTCAGTATCTCAACAAGGAGCAACGTGAAGCCATTTTACGAAAAGCCGATGTGCGTATAATTAGGTGCATTTGTGAGTGTGCCTTGAATGTTCTTCGCGGTAATGTACCTCTGAAGTCGGAGCAAAGGAAAAAATTACGTCGCCACGCGTCTGTCCTTCGGCGTTTAGCAGCGAAAAAAGGCTGCTGGAAGAGTAAGAAGCGATTTGTTGTACAGGGCGGTGGTTCCTGCCTCTCTTGCTAGCGCCAGTACTAGGAACTCTTCTATCAAACCTGATCGGTGGTCACGGGTGATGGAACACACAAGAAAAATGGTTCTCGTGCCGGAGGAGAATCTACCTCAGCTTAGCATACAAAGTCATCGACAGTCTGTAACACAGGAGAATCGTCCTATTGCTGCTATTTTGAGCAGACTGGATAGTGAAATGAAAAATATTTTGGATTCCAACACGTACAAGGATGAGAGAGAAAAGTGGTCAGCGTATATAACTGTATTACAGCGTTATCTCCATTTTGCGGATAGCGAACGGATTCAGCAGTATCTTACGCTCGTAGAGAAGAAGAGGAAGAAAAAGTCATCAACTGAGAATAATAATGGAAAACCGGGGGAGAGCTTCACGAGTATGGACGATTCCATTATAATCGAAAGCGTACCATTAAAATTTCGTAACAAGGCAAAGCTATTGCTGCGTCGCCTGCACGAGGCGCCAGCGTCGAATTTTTCTTGGAATTCTGCGGGCGTTGTTTCCGTAAGCGGAAAAACTATCAAGGACTCAAATATTGTTGATCTCGTGAATGATGCCATGCGCGAGAAAAGTTCCCAGACCTGCCGGCCGTAAAGCATTCGCTAGGCTCTTAAGAACGATTCAAACTCCTCGGGAATTCATCGGAAATGAGGACCTATGGTTGGAATCAAGAGCCAACTGAACATTACGGAGGCACGAAAGCGAAGACGACAACGGCGACGTCGACGACGACGACGACGACGACGACGACGAGGCTTTGAGTGACGTAAGCCATTCTACGTTCTTCAGTGGCAGTGAAAACAACAAATCTGATCGTTCTGCATAGAGTGATTTTGGCTGCAATAATATTAAAAAAAGACGTCTAATTTGGTCTAACCTCAAACTACTACCATGAAAACATTACAAAAAGTGTTTTTTAATCCTTCCCATGAAGCGTCGTTTTCGGGCTCCGAGAAATTGCTACACGTGGTGCGTAAGAATAAAATTTCGAATGAAAAGACGATAGAGTGGTTAAAGTCTCAGGATGCCTACACAAAGCACAGACCTGTGAGTTATCGATTTCCACGGCGCTTTTACAATGTACAGAACATCGACGATGTTCGGGAGGCTGATCTCGTAGATCTGCGCTCAATAAAGGATTATAATGACGGTTATGTCTATCTTCTTGTAGTCATAGATGTTCTTAGTAAATATGCATGTGTCGAACCTCTAGTCGATAAGTCAGCCTTGTCAGTAGCTAAAGCATTTACGCGTATACTATCACAGAAAAAAAGTAATTGTAGATCACCTATTTACATACAGACGGACAAAGGTAAAGAGTTCATAGGCGCAGCATTCCAGACGCTCCTGAGAAAGAAGAATATTCTATTTCGCGTTGCCAGAAATCCCGACATAAAAGCAGCTGTGTCGAGCGCTTTAATAGAACTCTGAAAGAAAGAATGTGGCGCTTTTTCATGTGTTCAGGGGAGAAACGTTACATCGACGTTTTGCAGAATATCGTTTCGGCATACAACCAGTCCCGACATAGCAGCATAAAAATGGCTCCTGCCTCGGTGACGCTTGCTACGGCGGCAAAGGCACGATCTAATCTGTTGCAACGCCGCGTG